GCGTTTAAACGCGTCTAGGAAAAACGCGTTTAAACGCTAGCAAATGGTGCATAATCTCAAAGGTATACATTTTTTTAAACTCCTACTGTCGAGTGAAATGTCAACACACGCACATGAGATTTGGATGAAATTAGTGAACAACGCACTATACATACGGGCACGGGTAGGCAGAACGGAACTAGAAAAACAATGTTTTTTTTGTGATCAATCTGAATCAGCGTACCCTCTATGGATCGAGTGTACCTTTTTTCAACTAGTGTATGACCTGCTCAGGGACTCGATTGCCGATGGGACTCATGTGTCTATTGAGCGTGAAACGACTCAAATCCTTTACATTGAGAAAATCCCCTCATATGATCTTACTGTGGCACAACGTAAAAATATGATTTTCCAAATTGGAAATTTCATTAAAACAATCTGGGATTATCGAAATGCAGTCCTTTTCGACAAAACCCGGAAAAACATTAAGATGGTGACAAGATTTTTTCTCGCATCAGTGAATCACCTCCCTTTCGACAATGGTTAACTAGTATGATTCTTCCAGTCTGTTTCTTTTGTTGTTTTGTTATTGTTTTCTATTCACGTTTTTCTCTTTAACTCCTCCAAAACAGTTGCCAATACATTTTAATGCAATAAGTCACGGCTATAATTTAGTAGTAGATCGTTTGTGTGTTAATCCGATTGAGGGTTAGAAACAACCTGTTGTTCAGTTTGTTTAGAGTGCGCTATTTTTGTTGGTTATTATGTTCCTTTTGTAGTGTTTTTATCGTTACCGGTTTTTTCTTTGAAAAATATGGTAAATTTTTAAAAATAAATAAAAACTGGTACCCAGGAAAAAAATAAAAAATAAAAGAGCATATTATCAGTCACTGTGAGGAAAGGGACTCTTTCACTAATACTAAGTTTGTCCGATGCGACTTTCCGTATAAAAATTAATACTAGGTAAAATCCGCAGCTCATTCTTGTGGATATGATATAAGTGGACGTCTGTCTCAGAATACCGGCCGTTAGTAACCTGATATCTTTTTCCATAGTGAAATACTAACTCTTCAAGGATGTCAACTCGGTCAGAAAGTCTTAACCAATAAGTACTGTCGTAGGCAGGAAATTTTCGAATTAAATTTTATCCTGCCATACATGACTCTTGAAATTTACGACGACCGATCAGAAATGCGCATCCACAAAAGCCGATATTGATTCAAATTGAGAGTTAAATGATGTTTTGTACTTTTTCTGTGTTCCTTGAGTGGCGCCACCATAAAGTGCTAGAAAAGTTTTCTTGATAGCCTTTGCAATTGATGAAAAATGAACTAATACGATGGAAAATGTGCTTCCGCTGTTTTTCCGCATTTTGGAAAAAATTTCCGCTTCTTCGACTTTTTATTTCGCTTTTCTGACCTAAGCATCTGGCAACTCTTGCTAAGTCACAGCCATAAACTTCAAAACAAAGAAAAACTAAACACATGTAGTACCGAACACGCTTTCATGTTCATCGTCTGTTCAGCTCGAGTAAACGAACTATTATCTATCTATCACAGACAAGAGGGGTCTATCTAATTAATTTATGTCCTTGATGAAAGACCCCAAACATTGGATGGAGCGATGAATGAAGAGAAGAGGGCAATTATTTGAAAAAGTTTGTAAGATAAATTTATTTCTTCCGATCTAAAGCGAGATTCATTACGACAAATGAATTTAAATACATTTTTCGCACAAAAAGTTACTATTTAGACAGATTCTCTTTGAAGAGTTTTATTTTGAAAAATATAATCATTAAATTCATTTCTTTTACAAATGACTGCAAATATATTTAAGTAGATTTCCCAAAATAAGTATATTTCAATTCATTTGTTTACAAAGAATAAATTTGCCGAAATAGATTGTTTTAAAATTTACTTGAATAAATTTTTCTTACAAACTTTTTCAAATAATTGCCCTCTTCTCAAGGACATAACTCAAGGAATAAATCTCTTCTTTCATCAAGAACATAAATTAATTCGATAGACCCCTCTTGTCTGTGTGATAGATAGATAATTAGTTCGTTTACCAGAGTTGAACAGACAATGAACATGAAAGCGTGTTAGGTACTACATGTGTTTGGTTTTTCTTTGTTTTGAAGTTTATGGCTGTGGTTAACTAGTTGTTTCTTGTAAATACTTCTTTTTCTTCTGCTCACCGTTTACTCGATGATTGGCTTACTTTCCTATTTTAGATCGTTTCAATATTTGTTTATCGTATTTCTTCCTGTTTGTTGTATTATTAACAGAATGGAACGCAAATTATCTACTGACTCTCAAGTATCTCATACAAGTGAAGTTTCTACCAATGGTACTCGGATTAGAGCAACGCATGCAGTGGTGTTATATTCTCGTGATGAACAGCGAACCCGTCTTGTGATGAAATTATCAGATGTTTCTAATTATGTATCGCGCCCAAAAGTAAAAGTTGGAGATCCAATATTTTTGAAATTACCTACATCACGAGAACGTTTTTCAGGACAAATTGTTTTTTTAGGTTAATGAGTAATTGTTCTATCACTCTGAAGAACAGTTTCGCGTTGAAACATGTTAATCTGTTCGAAAATAGATTAAAGAACATCTAAATTATTTTTAAAATAACAGCTTTTTCATCTGCAACTCGCTATGCGGTTAAGAAACCCAATGGTAAACAGAAAATTCCATTTATCACGATAGACATAAGACTAAAGGCTAAAATTTTCAAGCTTAGGGGCTCTAACTGAACCATTACTGGCGTGAGCTTCAGCTCTTCAACACCTTGTAGAAGTCTGCTACGTTCAAAATACAAAAAACTCAAATTTCACAGACTTAACCATGATGCGAGAAGGAAATCGCAAGGGCGCAAAGTGGAGCTTTTACTTATTCACTATCCTCTATCAATTAGTACATAAATAAATGAAAACTATAGGGACTCACACTGTCCTTAGCCCTTTGGTGCTAGGACACGCATATATGCATGTTGAAGTTTCTTATCACTGCTTCTGTATAACAATAAAATTTGTTTCAGACATATTTTGAAAGAAAAAGGTTTCATTTTTTCAAAAACAAAAACCCGGCGCCAAAGGGTTAAGAAAGAAAAAATTTAATACACGCTCAGATATTGAATAAAGCAAACAATACCTTTTCTGCCTTCTGTTGACTTTTTTCACAATGACAAAGAGCGAGTTTGAATAATTGAAAAGATAAGATAGTCGATTCTTGAAAGAGCAAAAAAGAAATTCGAATTGACGTACGTAGAAAGGATGTTATTTTCATCTGAAACAAATACATGACATTGTCTTTGAAACAAAGGTAAATCCATGCTTTTCAACCATAATTAGCATAACTCTGAATTAAAACCCTTAAATAAAAATTGCGATGCTGTCATCGAACATCGTTGAAACTACCAGTGGCAGCAAAACTTTTCCATACATTCCTGTCCTCTTTTTCTTTTGGTCATAACTCGGTAACAAAAAAGCTTTTGACAAGCGGCTTGCACCAAAATATTCTCCGCTCTCTCTAGTGTATTTGTAGATAAAATAAGTTAGAAAGTAGATATCTACCTAGAAAACTTAATATCCACACTTTTTTGGTAAGTAAAATACAACCCTGCGCAGAATTATAGAAACAGTAGTATATTAGAAGTTTGCTGTCAAGCTTTATTGCCTATATTCAGTTTCGCGGAGAAACTTGCAAGTTCTCCGCGTAAAAGACTAAGTCGAATAGACTATACTAGGAATTTTCAGACGGTCTTATGGGTAGCTTTGCTGGGCGTATATCTAATTGCAAGGATGGAGCACACAAGTCGACCCTATACTTCAGTCTTCCCAGCTCCAAAGCCTGCTTGTTTTATCCATATAAATACGCAGTTTTGTAGAGCTCAGCGAGAAACTTGCAAGTTTCGAGATGAATTAAACATGATCTTTTCAAATCTCAAACTTTTGTGTTTACCTTGAAAAACGGTAGTAAAGTCAAAAAATGTGTCGTGTTTCAGTGTGAAGAATTATAGAACCGCTAATCGTATTTTCTTCGTATACAAACTTAAATCAATTTTTTCGAAGGACAAATTATATCACTAATACATTCATGTTCTTAGCTACAATTCGGAAAAAACTTTTGGAAATCATACTCCTTTTGTTTTGAAATTTCATTTCAATATCTCGATGTTGAAGCTCTTAAAATTGCAAACTGAATCAATTTTAAGCTATCAGAGTATGGTTGCAATCACTCCATTGGAACTGATCGATCTGTTTTGGACTTTCTAATGATACAGGAATAAAAAGCTTTTGAGTAAATTTTCCAAAGACTTTTTCGTAAAACACTTTAATTCACAAGATTATGGAAATTTTCTTAATAGACAGTCATGATCAGTAGACTTCCATCGACAAGATAAAGCGGTTCGCAGCTTTTCATGGTAAAAAGCTAAAGAGTTATAGTGGTTAGAATATTAGGTTCGATTTATCAACATGAATTTTACCCTTCTTCATCTTGTAACAACATTATCAAGGTTACTTCCGACAGTACAACGATCACAGTTTGCATTATTTAAGAGTTTCATCATCGAGATTTTAAAATACAAATTCAAAACAAAAGTTTTGTACACTTAGGACTGTTAAACTGGGGGGGTACAATTCTGACTTATCTAACGACCTTCTAGTAATATCGACAGTTTTGATTTTTAAAATAAACCTTTTGTAATTTCTTACTTTACGAACACTTTACATTTGCTTTATGCTTATTTACAGTTACTTTTGTAAACTAATGGGTTGCAGAGTAATACATGTCAAAATCTACCCTAAACATCGCTAGACGATACAGCTTTTTGGACAATCATATGATGCAATTACGTCATTCTTAATGCTACTAACCTGATAATAAAAAAATGTGCTACCGTGTTATTCTGCAGAAAGGTACAAAAAATAATTTTCTCTTGCGTGCTTTTTCTCTATCTTTCTTCTACATTTTTCTAGTCTTTCTCGTGTTTTTCTCTGCTTTTTCTATTTCTTGTTTATGATACAGCTTTACCTTTTAGGTCTAGTGCTTTTTCTTAAAAAAAGCAAAATTTCTTCCGTTCCCTTCCCTTCTTGAATGCCGAGCCATATTTCGAATAAAATAATCTTACTAACATGCTTATGTTAGTAAGATTCGTCTCAGATAAAATCGTATAGTCTCATTTCATCCAAAACTGGCACACTGCATGGAATATTGTATTCAACAGTCGAACAAGGCAGTTTATTTTCTTTCTAACAGCTTTGTTTGTTTATTTATATACTATTAAACTTTTTTCTCACGTCTTTTTCATGTCTTTTCTCTTTGTTATAGAAGTTCGAGTCAAGGTAATTTCTTGGAGATTCTTCGTTGGGCAGCAACAACTGATCTTTTAGTGAAATCAATTTTTGAAGATTCTACTGGTAACACCAGTTACCTAAGTGATGGTATACAGAATGAATTAATTAATCTCATGAGCAACCAAGTCCTTGAAAAAATCTCATCCGTGGTGAGGCAAGGTGAGGTGTTATGATTGAATTACTCTTTGCTAATTTTAGTTGAACAATCATAATTATGCATTGATGGCTGACGAGTGTCGGGATATAAGTGGTACTCAACAGTTGTCTATTGTCATTCGGTCTGTTCATGATCAAGATATTGGTGTAATTGATTATTCAAATGTAGTGAAAGAATATTTTCTTGGTTTTGTTCGATTAGAAGAATTTGATGCAGCAACACTGACACTCAAGATTGTTCAATTTTTAAATAAACTAAATATTCGTTTACAATCATGTATTTGTTTATGTTTCGATGGGTGAGTTGTTGCCTTTTCCTTGCTAGATTTACGAAGTACTAAAAACTCTGTTTCTCTCCCTCACATTTATAGTGCATCAGTAATGCCAGCTTGTCATGCAGGAGTTCATGTTCTACTAAAAGAATACATGCCAAAGGGAATATACGTTCATTGTTCAGCTCATCATCTGAATCTTGTTATCAGTGATAGGTCGTTTCTTCTATGTGGGATTATTTCTCGATTGTTTCAAATATTCATTCGTTTTTTACCGAATCTGGTGTAACTGGTACATTCTTCAAACAAGCACAACAACACTTGGGATTAGGTGATTATGATGCTCATATTCTCTAAAAATCTTTTTTTTTCGACTTTGTTCTCATGTTTTAGTACAATCTTCGACACTCAAATTATGGGTCAAGACCAGAGGGGACTCAGTGGCAAGCTATCGATGCTATTACGTTATTAATACTATATGATCATTTGAAAAGTAAGACCTTTGTTTTTATTCTAGATTTGGAAAAGCTATTATTGTCTTTCTTTCACAAGATCCAGCTTTAGATTATGTACGTAATGAACATCTTGTAATATCGATTATTCAGTAAATAACCAATCTTCGTGATGAACAATCTTCAATTAAATTTATGATAAAGCAAAACATTTTTGTGCTGTAAATGAAACTGATTTGGCACAACAATATCAAATACATCGTAAAACTCCAGTCAGATTTAATGATTGTTTTATTAATTCAACAGTTGGACAAGTCCAAAGTTGCCTACATCAACAGGTTTTATGAATCAGATTTATTTTCCTTTAATTGATTGTATGTTAGTGGAACTAAACGACAGATTTTCATCAAAAACTTTATCATTTATGAAAAGTATTGCTACTAAGTATTATCCAGAAAGTAAAATTTTTTAAATATTCATGATGTTAATGAATTCAGTCGTCATATTGATGTTAATTCAAGTGCTTTAAAAAATGAATTTATTGTTATCAAATCTATTCTCATGCGTAAAACAATCAATGATGTTATTCAATTTTTGAACGAATTAGTTCCATTCTCAACTGCATTTCCACAAACATTACGAATGATCAAAAGTGCCATAACAATGCCGATTTCACAAGTAACTGGTGAAAGATCGTTCTCGAAGGTGAAGATAATCAAGAACTATCTTCGCAATTTCATGTCTGACAATCGCTTAAGCGACTTAACAGTCTTGGCTGTTGACGTGATATTGCTATAGATTATGAGCGAGTAGTAGATACATTTGCACGAAATCATAAGAACGGCAGGATTGTATTGTGTTAAGGTATCTAACTAGATGTTTTAAAATAGATAGTCAAGCTTTCTATGCATTGATGTGAATTATTTATTTAGTATAGAACAAGAAACATTTTTGATGAACCCAAAAATCGAAAAAAGTTTAAACTGCATTTTTTTGTCTTTCAAAACTCAGTGAGGCCGAGCCCAAGCCACTCTGATCAAAATTCAGAGGGCCTGAGCCCCACCTAATCTAAATTTCTGGCGTCGCCGCTAAGTAACACCTATGCACCTTTGAGCATTATGTGAAAATTTAAGAAAAAAGAGAGTTGGTATAATATTGAGAGGATTAATCAGTGTTTTCCCTTTCTGCTGTGACGTTATTATTCGAAATTTTAGATATTCGATTGACTTCGAGAATTCTCAAAGTGCTGCATGAAGATGATAATTTCGAATAGAACCGGTCCTTACAATCTGGAGGTAATTCTCAGCATTCCCGTAGAAAAGTAAAACTATCGTGAAAAACGAAAATCGGATACTCAATTCTTTCCAAACAATCAGAATTCTTGTATAACAGACCAGGATTCTCGTATAAGAGACTAGTATTCTCTTGGTAAATGTCGATATTCCAGTAGAACAGTAGAATTCTCGTGAAGAATCAGTACCGGACATTCTCACTCTTTCCTGTATTAATTATTTGTCAGGAGCTTTTTCCTGTGATTAGGAAGTGATTTTCTACTGATTTTTGTTTTGTTTCGTAAACTTGTTCATCCACGTGGTAACTGTATGATCACTTAAAATGTATTAATAAAAGAAATAATCGAAACCAAAAGAGCTGAAGGAAAGGCGAAGAAACGAACGAAATCCAAAAGCTGGCTGAAAATCAGCAGTACACGACGAAAAACGACCGTATATGACGTTTTACGACATCGTATACGACGTCGTATTTTGATGTAAACGATCGAAAACGATCGTGTCCAATCATTCGAAATACGACGTCGTATACTTCTTCCCGGATTACTTTGTCGTATTTCATCGTAAACGGTGGCGTATTTTGACATGTAATGCGGTATACGTCATTGTAAACTGCAGTATCAAATATAGTAAATTCTAGTTTACGGTCGTTTACGACAGGCGTAAACATCGACCTGGGTACGCACCAAGGTAGAATATCTATTGTTTTTCACTTTATTCTCCAAAAAGTTGAACATAATAAATTATATTTCTACACAAGAGGGGTTATGGATTAAGAAAATAGAAAGGAAGTAAAGGAAAAGGCAGAGAACGAAAGCGAAAGCGACGTGTGAAGTCTTTTAGACTTGAAGTTTTGTGTTAGAAGTATTATAGTCTAAAGCAGAGGATTCATTCTTAAAAAATTCAGGTATACCCCCGAGATGTTTTGCGCGATAGACTACAATCGACTATGGTGAACATTGACATGAACTATACTCAGACAATAGTCGAATATACATTTCTTTTGTTTGTATCATTTTGTATAAAATGCGAAACACTTATTAACGAGTTTTGTAACCATATATCATGTCAAATTCAGACAACCTTATGCAACATTTCAACCTGTGGACTTATCTGCGTCTGCAAGCTCTTACGCGTAATTTTCTACTGGCACAAAAGTTTTGCTATATGAAAGACAGAAAAATTGAGAATCTGTAATGGAATGCAGAGCAAAATTTTACATCTGAGTGAAAACTCACTGTTTACATGCAAGAATTTCAAGAACCCAATTTGCTCTATGATCTAGTAGTATCAGAATTGGTTCAGTTCAAATTTTGTTGTGGAATCATGGAAAATTTAAATGGGTTAAGTCAGAGTTAGGTGAAAAGTAACTTCTGAAATCACCATTAGAAAGATCATAAAACAACCTGGATTCATGTCGCATAAACGCAGTAAGCTTTGTTTAAATACTTCAGAGTAAAAAACTGATTTTAAAACTTAAATTTGACCTGTACTTGAAACAAAATATTTTTCAATGAGCTGCATTTGTAGAGAACAAAATTCTAATTAAGATGAAAATTTCATCTATCCTGGAATGTTGCCTGCTAAGGTCAGCAGTATACGGTGTTTCGAATCTTTGTAATTCCAAGCAAAATTGCTGCAAAAGTACGAAGACAGAGAGTCTGTCAAAAACGTTCATGTGAAACTCTACGGACCAGATTGAAACATTAATGTATAATATTTTATTCAGAGTTGTATATTCTACAAAAGCACCTTATTGAAAGCAATTAATACTTGCAATATGTTTGTATCAATAAAGAAAAGTCAGTAAGAGATTTGAATATTGAAACTGTAATGTGTGTATTTTTTCAACTTTTTGTAAAAGTCTATGCAACATGGTTTATGGTAAAGGAGAAAAAATCAAATATGATTAATTATTGTCGATTGAGAAGGGAAGAAAGTAGTGCTTCTACAACAAATAATGTGTTGTAGATGAAAATGAACAGAAGGCTAAATAACAAGTAGCGTTCATCATTCTGATTCACTTATCCCTTGATCGGAAAGGAATCGTCAATATCAAATTATTACCATGGAACAGAATAATTATCTTTCTTGTTCACATTATATTCTGAAGAACATACTTAACAAGCAGCAAGAAGCAAGTACTACGACAGTTCTGAGGATCATCGTTGTTCCTGCAGGGCAAGAGGTAAATGAGACACATTCCCAATTTTTAAATTCTTATTTCCGACCACTCTCGTACTATGCCTTGACGTGTCTGTTTGTCTGTTCGCTAATAACTTGTGTCTACACACAGGGGTTAAGTAATGTGTCCATGTGTGTTTTTCCGTTGTGTGCGTCTAATTTTAGGAAACAATGGGAAACTACTGAAAAATGCTGGAAAACTGAGGGACATTATGGGAAACTAAGGGAAACTGCAAGGAAACCGAAGAAAAGTGCAATCAAACAAAAGGAAACTAGAGATTCTGAAGGGAAACTAAGGAAAACCGAAGTAGACTAGGAGAAATCGGTGGGAAACTACTGTAAGCAGCTAAAAGCTTGATAAAACAAGAATCTTTACGCAACAATTTAGTGGATATTTTTTCATTTGGTTTTGACGTCGATATCATCGTTGATATTAATGAAATCTGATAAATCTTTCATAGTCGCATAAGAGCACTCCTTTCCATGTACGACGTAATATTTTCAAGTTTACAGTTAGAATGAAGTTGAAAATGTTATGACTTCATAATACTGTACGTTACATGTTTTCCTTCTAGACTATTCATTATTCCGAGATCTTTTCTTCTCTACTTTTAATATACATGTTAATTTTCGACAGAATGTAAATGCTTCATATCCCAAATGACTGAATGTTAAATGTCATGTTTTAATTTCATCATTCCTTATCCATATAAATATTCTTTTCGTAAAAAACACTTTCAAAACTAAAACTGGATAAAATTAGAAAAGATCTCGGAAGGAAATAAAGACAGCAAAGATCTCGGGAAAATGTCAATGAAGTATTTCTGCACAAAAGATCTCGGATTAATGAATAGTCTAGAAGGAAAACATGTAAAGTACAGTATTATGAAGTCATAACATTTTCAACTTCATTCTAACTGTAAACTTAAAAATGTTACGTCGTACGTGGAATGAAGTGCTCTTATGTGACTATGAAAGCGATTTATCAGATTTCATTAAAGTTCAAGATATCGACGTCAAAACCAAATGAAGAAATATTCACTAAGCTCATATGTTTGTGTTTATCGAAAGGAAACATTTAACATCGGTGGAGTACAACGCCTATCCCACAACTTACTGGTGAACGTAGGGAAGAGAACCTCCAAAAAAACTAAAAATTAGTAGTACAACAAGATTCGAAAACTAAGCGTGTTCTCTTTTTTTATTTGTGCCATATTCTTGTAAGTATTGCGAAAAGTTTCGCATTGAAGAATCATTTTGCCAAAGACTGCACTGTTTGGAAGGTATAATATACGCGGGTGTGAAAACTTTTGCTATTAATTAACTAGTATAAAAACATAAGTAAAAATTTCCCTAGATCTTTTCTGTTTTTAGTTCCTTCTGAGATCCATTCTGCTAATTTTCCGAGATCTTTTATTTTCACGTCTCTAAAACTAATCTATTTGTATATTTACTTTCAAATGTTAACAAAGTTTGAGTTGTCTTCACATTATCGTTATTGTCTAGTAACATATTAACTAGACTGGCGAGTATAAATATATACAGTAGTTATACGTGGTAAATTCACATTATATTTCTATTTGAGCGGCCCTCATTTGAAAATTCTGAACTCAGCCACTGATGTCTCTTGATTTTCTGTCGTCTTACTAAATAAACGACTCTGAGTTGTACATTGATTAATGGTTGATCTACTCGAAATAAAAGCAAAAAGAATATGCATAAAAAATGCGACCGATAAAAGAAAGCATACAGTATATTTATTCTTTTGTTACTATCTGTGTATATAGTATGTTATTTTTGGGATTAACACGTAATGGAGAGAAAAAACTAAAAAGGAGAGTATTTTCTCCATAATTGCATAGGACGAAAGATGATTTTCCTATCAGCTGTGTAACGATATAAAAAGAACTTCTTCCTTTCTGCAAACGTTGCCGTTTATTTAGACTGTGATTCAGATTGTAAGAGGCAATAGATAGAACATAGCCAACAGCAACAAAGCAGAATTTATCCAGCAAACGAAAATAAAAGAATATATGAATGAAAAAAGTCGGTGTTAACGATCTTTACAACTGCTTCATGATCGAATCTATGAACTTTTTTTCACATCATTCATTGTGTAACATTCTATAAATAAATAATAAATAATACATATAATGAATAACATTGCACATAAAACTTACTTTTATCTTTGGTTTCGCATAAGTGTTGTTGAAATTTCAATACATTCGTAGAAGAATTCTAATAAGAAAATTTTTATTATTCGTTAATTCTGTTCGCTATGTACCTACTTTGTTAAGTTCTTGTTTAATTAAATTTAATGCTTGTTCAAATTGTTCTGCTCTTCTTAGAACATCTATATGTATCAGATTAATATCTTCTTCTTCGTGATTAGCAGGTTCATGCTGTTGCTTTTGCTGCTGTTTAACTTTATCAATCAATTCAGCTGTTCTCAGCCGACAGTTTTTGGCACCCGTCTCATAGTTTTGGCCTTTATCATCATCACAAACCCAAGCCGCATATTGTGATTGTTTATAGGCTTCTTGAAACTTTTCTTCATTTTCTGTAGAAAAAAGTATATTCTCATAAAGGCTTTTCCTATGTTGATTCTTTACCTAATATTAATGAATAGCAAAGGAAATAATTTGCCAATGCTGGATATTCACTTGATTTCAGCTGTTGTTGATATTGGGGAGATGTCATAAAATTTTTTCTGATATATACCTGTGCCATATCACTTGTTTGACCATCTATCACGGTATTACAGTAACCACATGAAGGACAATGTTGTATCCACGCTTTGATTGTCAGACGTTTTTGAAGTGGCGGTCTGAAAAAGATGCTGTTGTATAAAGGCAACATGTGAATTAAACTAACCTATAATCGAGATCATTAGATGAATCTGGAGTTGTTTTCCAAGAATCTGCTTTTATTTGTTCAGACTCTAGACGACAATATTCACATCGCTTTCTAATATTTCGAAACAACACCATATTTTCTAATACAAGTTAACCGTCTAAAGGAAAGTGTTTTATAAAACAAAGTCCTCAACATGAAGAGTTTATTTTTTATGAAACATACAGTAGCAAAATAATACTAATTTTTGTTATTTCTTCCATGCCTGTTACATTTCTATGTACTTACTTATTGATGTCAAAATTATCTTCGTTACAGAAGAATCAAGAGAAGAAAAACTACTAATATACACAGATAGTAACAAAAGAATAAATATACTGTATGTTTTCTTTCATCGGTCGCTGTTCTTATGCCTATTCTTTTTCCTTTTATTTCCAGTACATCAACCATTAATCACTTTACAATTTTACGTTTATTTAGTAAGACGACAGAAAATCAAGAGACATCAGCGGCTGAGTCTAGAAAGGAGGGGAGGGGAGCAATTTCTGTGGGAAAACGGCCACGCTGTTTTTGATTAATTCGTAGTGGTGGTGATAGCTTATCAGGAGCTAGTACACAAAAATGTTGAATTACGATATTCAAGTATCGCTGTTGACATGTTATCGGTCAGATTCACCCAAAAAGAAACTCATCAACCTCAATGTAACAGAGCTCATGTAACTTCATATTATAGAGCTCATCAAGCTGGACCGAATGGTGAAAGCCGCAAGTCTCTAGCCTTGTTAGAAAAAAAGTTATGGTCATTTTAGAGTTTTCCTAGACCTATCGAGTGGTATATGAATGACTTCTATTGTGCAATTTAATAGAATACTTTCTAGATCTATCAACTTCTAAAACTTTTCCCCCAGATCACAAGAAAGCAGGAACCAAAAGTAACATGGGGAAATAAATGCGAATACGATCGGCTACCACCACTACGAATTAATTAAAAACAGCGGGGGCCGTTTTCCTACAGAAATCGCCCCCTCCTCCTTTCTGACGAGGGCCGCTCGGATAGGAGGTTCTTATGTCAGGATTCTAAATCCTTCCATAAACACATGTATTGTAATGGACAGATATTCATGCATTCTTTTCTCTCTTTCACAGATGTCACATTTTATCAAAAATATATTCTCAACTTTCTGCGAACATTTTTCATGCTCTATTTTCCTTTATGGTTTTCTAGTTCAGATCGTTTCTCACTCTCGGTTGCTTCCGAATATTTCTACCGGTATACTAATCAATCACTACCTTTGATTTGAAGAAAAATGAAAAAAGAACCATGTGCAGAAAACTATAACATAATTTTTGATGATAATGTATTTGTGTGGTATTGGTATGATAAGTCGATACTATGAGTTCATGTTTACACTGTAGAGCTTCACGCATTTATATCTGCTGGAGTTCTAGATATTTCCTCAATCATGTTTCAAAATCTTAATTGTAGAAGACAACCAACTCGAGCAAAGCAATATTCCAGTCTATCTGCGCAGATCTTTTGATAGAGAAATGATATAGTGTCCGATGGAGCACAGGACACTTCTACGATTTATCCTTTGTGATCTTCGGCTACACTGTCAAAAAAAAGTGTCTTGATAAACCATTCGACTGGCTTAAAAATGCTTCCACAGTGCGTTTTGAAGGCACGTTAGGTGCGTTTTCTCCTCTTTTTGCTGTGAGTCGCCTTAATGTCTTCGAAAAAAAAACCCTCTAAGTCGTGGCTTTTTTCGAAATAAATAGCTTAGGTGCATTTGATAGACATCAGTAATATATCAAAAACGCACAATGCACTAGCTACAGTCAACCTCCTTAATTACCCATCAGCCATGGATAAATCACGTAGTCATATTTTAGGCATTGAAAATGCTGCGAGACCCTAGTTAGACACTGAGACATACTGCGGCTACTCAAGCTGTGTCTAGCAGAAATAAATCGACAGAGAAAAGTGCTTTAGCTACATTGTTTCTTCGACAACTATAGTGACTGTGGTACTCTCGAACAGGCGATAATGGCAATTTTGAGCCAGTCGAGTAACCAGGTTTGTTTGCCACGCATCTACGAGGTAACGCTCGTATACCACTTACTCGGTCTCATGCCTTTGGCAACTTATATTGGCATAAGGACAGATTTGATGTGAAAAGTTTATAATCTAACATAACTCTAAAAGGTTTTCTGAAAACCATGTTTTCTCGGGGATCTAAAAATATTTCCGATTAGTTCTCATAATAGGTTATTTGTATTGTGTAAGTATCATTACCTGCATATGGTTTCTTTCGCTCTACCAAAATTTACTGATTTTTGACGACATCTATTTCTCATTGTAAAATAAAGTCTGCTTAGATTTTTTTATCCCTGCTCCTGCAGACATTTTGCTCTTTAAATATTGTTCCCTAACAAAAATAATATTTTCTATTCCTCTCTACTGATCGCCTTATCAATGCCTAAAGCACTGAACCACTTATTTTTTTTGCTTTACCGTCTGTGTTTGTATTCCTTCTTCCTATCTTTTTAACATAAATGTTTCATCTTATTCTATTGTAATTGAGTCATTTTTAGTTTATTAACCACCTTATTTTTAATTTGTTGCTTGCGTATTTAATTTTGTCACATGTAGAAATAAAATGTTTTTCGTAGTAGCTTACTTTTATAAGGCTAATACCGCGTCTTAAACGCATCCTCAATGTCTTAAGGATATCAGGATGTCTTATTATATGCATCAAAAATGCACTTGATTTACACGGGAAAAGATATTCAAAGTGCCTTGACTCAACATCCATAGTGTCTCATCAAGATGCTATGGGTACATAAAATTGGAATCCAGCTGCTTTCGTTAGGCGTCGCAGCGCGTCTTTTACATGAAAATTTCATCTTACTGATCAAAAATGAAGTCATCTTTGACTCGCGTGAAGTGCATTTTTTATTCGAAAATGCACCTATTTTTTCACAGTGTATGCTCTAACCAGCTTCTCGTCTCTTAAAAGACGAGAGAGAAGAATGCTTGTTAATTATTTTATAGAATAGAATGAGGCGAAAGTATTTTTTTCTCACCTCCAGTTGAGGTGGTTTGAGCCTTAATACCAGATGTGACAAAATTCCCCATAATCATCTGTGCCGCAAGTTTTTGTACTGACTCTTGGTGAGTCATCATATAATGCAGATGCATAATCTAACTTGCACAAAACACATGTATTATAAATTTGCAACCATATTGAAGTCAGATCTGCTCTAAACTGAGGTTACATTGCACTAAGACGGGATCTACATATTTTGGAAAGATCATCAACATATACTGCCAATCCAAGATTATGACTTCATTTTAATGCTAGGAAAACTACTTAGGGCTATCCAAAAGTAGTGAGGGAGGTACTATTTTTTCTTATAGAAAGCTTGAAAAAATTTTCTTTTTTTATGAACAGATAGAGCGTCTTCCGCTCTATTTTGCTATGCTATTTGATCACTGTCAGTCCGTTGTCATGACTTCTGGCCCGATGAGGCAATATTGCCCGTTCTGGCAAGATATATTGCCCGCAGAGGCAATATGGTCAGATCGGGCAAGGAGTACCTTGCCCCTTTTGGCCAGATTTCCACATTTTTCTCTCGCAACGCATCAGCGCAGAAATGAAAGCGATGACGCATAAAGAGACTTATTCCACTTG